CTCAAAAATAGCAAGTTTACATACAGACATTATCCCATCTACTAAAAGTGGCTAGATTCTCATGTCTTTCTGAATAGTTGACAATCTTCCACTGTTTAACAAGTAAGAGTCAACTACTTCATGGAATAACCAGAGGAAATTGTTACTCCAACCTATTCCAAATCTAAAGGTATATCGACTGTTTGCTATGATCAGTAAGAAAAATCAGTTCCCGTCGTCATCTAGTATCAGTTGAATAGCTGTTGTACTGGAGATTAATTCTACTGGGTGATCATTGAAGGCGAAATAAAAATCTCGGCCGCGACAGGATTCGGACCATAGAGCTCTGGTTTATCAAAATGGTAACCTACCGACCGAGCTACGAGACCCAATTGCTGATGACCAGATCTTGATTTCTCTTCAATCGCCACGTGATGAGTCACTATTTATTCAGCGTATACACACTGGTTGCCTAGATAGTACTTTTGAACACAATTTACGTCGAGATGAATTCGATAGAGATGCAGCATCATATTCATTGCCATTAAAATCAAGAGATAGTAACGTATCACAAATTCATATGATAATCGGGCAAACACCTTGATCATTGAAGTGAAATAAAGATCTAGTCAGCAGCCGGGTCTCATAGCTTGGTTAGTAGAGTCAAAGGTTGATAATTCAGAGGTCTCTGGTTCAAATCCTGAAGCTTCAGTCATCACTCAGTATCACTAATGTAAGCCTACCAAATGCAGATCATCAATTTGTTAATCATATTTACCAAAACATGTATGTATGTTTGAGGAATACAAAAGGTTTTAAATGCTCTCCCTCCCCTCTTCCGAAAAAAGAAGAAAAAGAAACGGAACAATAAACCGTGAATTGGTCAACATTATCGAACACATGATTGAAGTCATAATGTTATTGAACACTGATCGAACATTAGATTACATGTAGTGAATCCTACATTAATCCATTTTGTTTTCTTTTAGCTCACTTCAACTAGTCTATAACAAAAACACGATGTTGAAATACTTGAATAAAGTTTTCTTTCTCCCGTATTTTTCTTTTTGTATGCTTCATTGGGTTTCTTATCCAAAGAAAAATAAACAAGTTAGTTCATAAGTCGTTAAACAGGTTTCAACTTAAAGGTTTAATGGTAATGCGCTCATCACTGATAGATCTAATAATCTTCAGATCGATTCTTCATTAAATCGATCGTTGGTGTAGATTGTTGAAAAGTTCTGATCTAAAAAGAAAAATTTATTGAGTGCTCTTAGTTTTCTGAATGATTCTTCAACTGAATTTTGAGGGAGTTGTGGAGATTTGGAAATATTTCAAGTTGTTATTCATTGTAGACTGACATCAGTTGGAGGAACAATGGAAACCTGGGAGTACTGGACGACTGTTTCTTCCAACTAGTATGGGACTCCTCAGCAGTGTGCACTCACGACCTGGCACCATCAGGGATAGAACCCGCGACCTTCAGGTTGCGCGTCCGGTGAGTTACCATTGAGCTACTGGGTCACAATCCAATGTTCCATATTTCCAACTCCTGCTCATTGGTGACTAGATTCAAGAAGTATTCCTGAAGTTCCAATGATAAGTCGTGACCGATGGAGTCAATGCCTGATGGTCATGAGGACCATTACTCATTGATGACATTGGGTGGCGGTTAAGCTATATTGTGAGCTAACAGAAGTTGGAAATATGGAGCATTGGTTTCTGACCCAGTGGCTCAATGGTAACGCACTGGATGCGTAACCTGGTCTCGGGTCCGATCCCTGCTGGTGGGGTCGTGGGTGCGCACTGCTGAGGAGTCCCATACTAGTTGGACGAAACAGTTGTCCAGTGCTCCCAGGTTTCCTTTATTCCTCCAACTGATGTCAGTCTACGATGAGTAACAACTTGAAAGATTCTTCAACTGATGTCAGTCTGTCTGCAATGAAAATCAACTTGAAAACATTTCATTCGGTGTACAAAGTTGGTAAATGCTTACCTCTTGGTTTCTCTCTCTCTCCCTTTCTTCCAATGTATGCATATTTACTCAAGCTTTGTTAACCAGAGACAAGGGTAAACACTAAAAAGGTGTACTCAGATACAGGACAATATCTTTTTGCTTATTATTTTTATTGATACAGGATGGTGATTGAAGGTGAAATAAAAATCTTGTCCGCGATGGGGTTCGAACCAACGACCTTTATGTTACCAGCCTGGTACTCTACCAATTAACCTATGGAGACCCAACTGCTGTTGATCAGATCCTAATTATTTTCTCTGTTATTGGTACTGCTTCCCTCCGCCAGAATATACAGAGCTTCTCAACAGGCAATACGAATGATAATCTATAACCGTATATAGTCAGAGAATCCATTCCTAATGGGTATCTGCATACTTAAAATTATAACAGACACTCATCCTTTTGATTTTATCAATGTTTAACACTTTGACCTACAATGATTAACCTATGGTGCATATGAATGAGGAAAAAGGTATCAATGGGCATCTTGACATGATTCAATGAAATGCAAGACAGATCATCACAAATCAGTCATTTCATCTTCTAAAAAATATTCATTTAGTTCATTTATATTGGGGAGAAATGATAATAATTTAACTTTCTGCTGTCTTTACAATATCTCTGCCATAGTTGTCATTAACACTTAAATTCTACTATATAACTACTACAACACTATCACACGTTAATAGGCAATATATTGAAGAAAACTGCACCTGTGTGCTTTTAAAAACAAACAATGAAATAAAATAGAAATCAGGTTAAATAAATATTGACCACCATCAAAATGTCATTTATTGAAAATAACGACTAAATGTTGAGTAGTTGTTAGTGTTCCATTAAATTTTCTTATGAGGGAATTTAATGACCTCCCACCACCACCACCCCACCCTATTCTTCTAATAAGTGGTATTGTGTTTAGTGCTTAAGGGAACCATATTTCTCACTGTGATTTATACAAACGTGTGTATTAATCTAGAAAATTGAATTTTTCAGTTGGAATAAATTAACCTAATTCATATGATACTTTTTAATGCTTTTCTTAATGTCCTGTCTACTATCTTCTTTGCCTTTGAATGATGGGCTTTCATAAAGACCATCTTTAGTGTTTTGAGGTACAAAACTGTTTCTTTTCCCTTTCATTAAACTATTAACATTGATAGTAGTGCATCACTAATTCACACGGCAGTCAGGCAAAGCCATTGGTTGGTAGAAGATTGAACTGGAAACCCAGTGGTTGCTGGTTCGAATCCTGCGGTAGGCCAGATTTACTTTTCGCCTTCAGTCATCATCCAGTACGAATACTGACTAACCTAAGCGTTTAATACTGGAAGTAACCGTTTGATCCCGATGTAACAGAAATTCGTTAATTGTTAACTATCAAGATTTCTTATCATTAAACAGTCCAGAGCTGCAGGATTACAATAATTTAGCTTACTTGGTCACTTGATTACACCACATTGTTGTGTTACCAGCTGATTACTGACTGGTCAGCAAGTAATCTAGGCGAAGGTCTACTAGGACCATGTCTCCTTTACTTTTGAGTTCGAAGAAAAGTGAATAGTAGAGTAAATTTAAAGCTAAGGATGTGGATAATAATAGTTTACAGCTCAAAAATGCTTCGTTTATTTATGAGATAACAGTTGATGAAGCCATTTAGTTTAGTGAATAAACCTGAAAGTATGGACAGCGCCGAACGATTACCATCTTCAGTATTCTTAAAGAGGACGGAAATTTCTGTATTTACATCTGCACATGATTTATTAACATTATCTTTTGTGAGGATAACATTGAGTGGGTCTGTTACATCTCTACTTCCCACAAAAGTAGGTTTCTGATTTGGTTCTATAATAATTATGAGTTTATTGTAGAGGATTTGCAACTAAGGATACAGGATAATTTTGAGTTAAACGAACTCTATAAAGCTTTATATTGGGTGATGACTGAAGGTGAAATGAAAATTTGGAACGCGACTAGATTCGAACCAACAACCACCTAGTTTCCAGTCCGATGTCTGGTGGGTGGTTTGAATCCCGCCATGGTTCAAATTTTCATTTCACCTTCAATCATCACCCAGTATAAATACTAGTCAGCCAAACTACGGCTATCTCACATAGTCAAATGATAATCTCTAAATCTTGTTCACCTTACAATGATGAAACTAGTCTAGGTTGAACGCTGTATAAATAATAAGGTTTTAATTCAAAACCATCTAAAAAGAGATTTTTAACGAAACCTATATTGAGTCCATCCACCTTACCGGCCTCTAACGTCGAACTCCTAAAAAGTATTATGCCTACGTTTTATCATTCTTCCTCCTATGAAGTGTATATACTTTTCTTAAGTAATGTCATTATTGCTATAGTCATGCGTATCATTAGGAATGGAAACCAGACAGAAAAATCACACACCTCGTAGAGCTAGATAGCTATGTTTTAATTTGAGAATCCTCAGAAGTGTGTTCTCATTATAGCATGAGGGATTGAGGATAGGTACTTCAGTGAACACCTAACCATTCAATCCCACTTTCCTGGGTTTCAACCTACACACGGTATCGGGTATATCCTGCCACGGTAGAGCTTTCAAAACTAGGACGAATCAGGTGCCCAGTGTTTCCAGATTTTCAGTGATTCTTTTGCTCGTGTCGACCCATGATGGAAACCTGTCTGAAGCCACTCAGTCCTTAAAAGCCACCAAATTGATTGATAGTTGTGTTTAGCTTCTGAAAAAATTTAGCTACAGGTTTATCACATTAGCCAATTAAAAAAGACATATTTATCAGATAGCCAATCAAAAACCCAATACGCTGAACACGTGGGTGGATGAGCGCATGACAAATATTCCAATTGGTCACGATTTATTACACATGAAGCATTTTCCCAATTCCACACCTCTCACTGACACACGCTGCACTCCCATTGGCTGTTATTCAAACACGCGAAAATTTATCAAAACGCCACGCTCATATATAAATTAAAACATCTCTTTAAACAAACACATTACTGACATGCTTACTATGATTCCGTACACTGATCATGCTTGTGGAAATTATACACGTGTACCACCCATTTACAATTCTGCTGAGACAACTACAGCACAAGATGTTTCTACTCATTCGAATGTGACTCATGTTGTTTGTGGGAGTTCAGGTCGTTCTCGAAGAGGTAGACGATCAAATGTTCCACTTGAAATCAGAGAGCAGACACGCCGAGTAAGTTCATGTCCTGTTTCTCAATAACAAGTTGTTACTTTCATGAGTATGGCAACTTGAGATTAGTTACCACAAGAACTTTTAAACCAAGGTATTTAAGTACGATGATATTCAGAGTCAGCAAAAAAACTGAAGATATTGGGTTTCATTCAGTATATTTTTATTGCTTAGAGTTCGAATATGTTTTATGACTTACTGTGTTATATGCGTTGAAATGACATTATGCAGCTGATGAGATAGAATTCGGTGAAATGGGAATCAATGCAATTTTGCTCTTTACTTCAAACTGGTAGTAGTATAAGTCAGATCAATTGTGCTTTCACGCTTTTCATTACCTTCAGGATCTATGAATGAGCGAAATAAACACTTAACTGATATCTGTTTCACTGATCACTTTGTAAAAGGGCGTCAATTTCATTGTCGATGAATGGAACCTGAAGGTAGCTAGTTAAGCGACAAACTGTTCTCATTCCTTACTAAATGTTCTAGCAAGTTATTTCCGACTAACTATATGAAGTAGGAAAGTATGCGTCATGGTCTATCAATGGTTGTTAGTCACGTAATCTGGACTTATAATGCACCCATTACTAAACAGATGAATACTCGTATATTCACAATCCACAACTGTATTATCTGATAAAACTAGTTATCATTTTGACTGTGTGAGATGGCGATGGTTTGACAGACTAGTATTGATACTGAGTGATGATTGAAGGTGAGATGAAAATTTGGACCATGGTCGGACTCGAGCCAGTTTTCTAGTCCGATGCTCTACCAACTAAGTTATAAGGTCCGACTGCTGACCACATCTTAATTTCACTTCAGCCACTAAGGGTTTTCCCCAACCACCGTGTGAATTTATCCTGACTCGTTATCATCGCTTGATCGTACTCATACTGGCTGCTTAGTCACAGCTTCTCATCCCAACCCAAATCTACTTCAAATGGAGAAGGGGAGTATCATATTGATTATCTATTTGATTTTCTGAGTGAGATAGCCATGACTTGGTAGACTAGTATTGGTTCTCAGTGATGATTGAAGGTGAAATGAAGATTTAGATCACGACCGGATTCGAACCCGCGACCACCGCATTTCCGACTCAATGCTCTACCAACTGAGTCTAGAGGTTCAACGGATGACCAGATTTTTATTTCAGTTCAACCAATTAATTATATAATAATGAGCATTTTGAATTATATTAAACTTTTCTTATGATATCGTCTTTTTGGTAATAATAATAGTTGAAGAAACAAAATATGGAGCGTAGACGACGTGCATGCATTTCTGATAAAATGAATGCCCTACATAACTTGGCTATGAATCTAATCGGCATTGATGTAAGCAGTTTATCTATATTATTATTATTATTATTATTTGCTACTAATCCAAATGTTAACCAGACTTTTTCAGCAACATTCATTATTGAATGTGTGATAATCTGTTTGAAATGATCTACTGTGTTTGGTTTTTACCCAACCTATATTACTACTATAAATTGGCAATTTATCGGCTAGTTTCAATCGCATTTGATGGATGTTATAGAAGATCTGAGCCAATTGGTGTAACAAAACAATATGTCCTGCTTAATTGTAGTATCGTTCAGTTCACAAACTGCTTACACTATCGGAAGGAATCATGACTTTTAAGAGTAGGTGGGTAGGTGAAGGGTTCTAGGATGCTACAGAGAAAGAAACCTTTAACCGATAGTCGCAAATTTCAGTTCACGTGTCTAGCCGAATGTATTTTGTTGATAAATGATGTATATTTACACTATAGTGAACCAGCTAAATCAATTCCTTTCAGTATTTAACATAATAGTATGCTTTATTAAGCGGAATATTCTGCAGTTCTGTTGAGAAGTAATGACCTGTGAGGTCAACCAATCGGAAGCGAAGCGGAAGTATGGATCATTGAACTTCAACTGAGTGGTTGAATACCTGACGCTTTCTTTACGAGACCTGAAGGTAATAAGTTCTACGCCTGGCGGGGTCATGAGTACATACTGCTGAGGAGTCACATATTAGGACGAAACGGTTGTCCATTGCTTCCAAGTTCTTCAAGTGATTTCTTTTCGTGATGAGGAAACCACCTTAACAATCAATTTGTTTCATTCATTTAACACTAGATATGTTTCTCCTCGTTTTAACACCAAAAACGAGCTGCTATATTGTGTTGTTAAAATTACCGTCACCGAACTAAATTACAGAAGTTTCCCGGGGTTGTTTTTTTCACTCATTCTCCAGTTTTAATGATTTAAGGTGGGGCTGTTTTTCCAGAATTCCATTCCATATATCTTTACAAAATTGAAGCCAGTCAGGTTTACCACGCTCTGCTACATTTCAAAATTGTGATCGGTTGTCCTATAGTTGATAGGGTAAGCTTAAATTCTGTTGGATTGGTTGTCACCAATATTTAGATCTGTAATTGATGTTTAAGTGTTTTCCCATCGCTATCTTCAATATATTAAACTCCCTCTCTTTATAAAACTGCCAAAATAACCAATCAGATTCCGGAATTCCAACTGCAAGGTAGAATAGAATACAGAAACGTAATTGGTTGTCTCAGCATTGTTGGGGTGGAGTTTAAAGCGTCACTCTTATTACTCTACTGTCGATCGACTACCCCCGATATTTTCCAATTTTACCCTGGTTACTCAGATCGGTTGATTCATCTGATAAGGTGTATAACAGCTTAAAAATAAATACTTATTATTTATATACATTTCTGATTTGTCATAGATATCACGATGAATAAACAGAAAGTCTTCTGAACACGTGACCACTAGCCTGTTGCCAAGCTGTTCCATTTTTAGTAAATATTGAGGCTAAATTCCACAGGATGGTAGTCAGTATTTAGATGACCGAAGTGATATGGTGAATTTACGAGTGAATCTAAGATACCATCCTAGTAACCAGATCAATTGTAACTACGACACATTCCAAATATTTTAATATTGCATCATGGATGATGTTAATGAACATGTTTAAGGGGGAGTAACAAACGGTTTGGAAAGTCACTCCTAAAAAGCAGCATATAGTTAGCTACAAGTTATTGTAGATGATCAAAACACTCACTTTAGTTGGCCATTCTGTTTTACTCAAGTAGATTAACGATTTCGAATAATGTGATGGTGAAATGTACTGGGTGGTAGTGGAATCCACGGCACATGTTTCATCCCATTTGGAACTTTGCAGCTGAATGTACCTGCCTCTCAGTAAGTGATATTTTCCCCACCAAGACTCGAATCCAAGATCAATCACTTCAAACACCAGAGGGTTATCCAATAGGTTAACGAGTTACGATAGCCACTATTTGTGAGACTGGTATAAGTTTGGTCTTATAGCCTACAATTTCGAACAGTATTCACGATTTTGTTATCAGACAGTGTGAAAGAGAATTATCACAGTGTATATTCCTTCATTTGGCCTCATTGAAAAACTGTATTACTTCTGTATAACTTCATACGTAGAGTAATTGATAAGTGTCTTTATTTAGTCTAATCCTCTTCACTTTTCTTTCTTCTGATGTTACAGCCTAATGAATATCATAAAGTTGAGAAAGCTGATATATTGAATCTGTGCTACAATGTATTCAAAGGAATTGCGAATATTACCAAAGATGAACCTGGTAAGAGATTCTTTATTGCTTCCTAGCATAAACTTTGGTGTTTTTGTTGTGGTTTTTTAACTCCAATTTTTCTTGAATAATTTTTTTGATTATCTTAAGTGGTTATTATAAAAGATGATGGGCTAAGATAGAAAGGATCTTCATACATCATAGATACTGTAGAGATGAATGAACTATAGTGATAGTTAAGCTAACAACAGTAACAGAGTAAAGTTCACCATTGTATTTTTATTCTGTATGTATCAGAAATACTTCAGACGGGATGAATAGATTGAATTATTGTCAATGTACAAGCTGTAATTATCAAAGGGAGACACTTCATTTTCTCTACATATGGCCATCTCTGATCTGTTGTAAATTAGTAGTCAAGGTTTCATAAAGTACATTTGATATTCTAGCTGTATCCAAATAAATATGCGATTTCTTCCGTAAATTAACTTTCAATGTATTATGTGCCTAACATGAGCCGAATTAAAGCCATTATAAACTCTGCAAACACCTAGGTATATATTATTGATGCTTATTGTTATGATAAATGTCAAACTAGTGTCTGGGTTCGACTCCATTTAGTATCATGAATATACGCTGTTGAGGATTCTTTAACTGGTTTTTGATGAGAGCTTTTTTCAGATTGACCTGGTTGATGACTGAAGGTGAGATGAAAATATGTCTTACAGCAGGATTCGAACCATTGACCTCTGGGTCATAAGACCCAGTTGCTGCTGACTAGATCTTAATTTCACTTCAATCACTAAGGGTTTTGTCAAACTATTATGTGAATTCGTTGTGACGCGTTACTGCCACCTGATCATATTCACACTGGCTGCCTAGTCAGGACTTCTCATCGAAATCCAAATCTAAGTGAATTAGAGAGGGCGTGGAGCATCATATTGATTATCATTTGAGTATCTGAGATAGCCATAGTTTAGTAGACTACTAATGATACTGAGTGGTCGCTGGTTCGAATCTGGCCGCGGTCCGAATTTCTATTTCACCTTCAGTCACCACCCAGTATCAATAATAGTCTACCAAACTATGGCTATCTCAGATACTCAAATGATAATCAATATGGTGCTCCACCCCCTCTCTAATTCACTTAGATTTAGATTTGGATGAGAAGTCCTGACTAGGCAGCCAGTGTGAATATGATCAGGTGGCAGTAACGCGTCACAACAAATTCACATGAGCGTTCGACAAAACCCTTAGTGATTGAAGTGAAATAAAAATCTGATCAGTAGTCGGATCTCGTAGGGGAGTTGGTAGAGCATCGGGCTGGAAACCCAATGATCATTGGTTGGAATTCAGCCATGGTCCAAATTTTCATTTCATCTTCAATCATCACCTAGTATAAATATTAGTACTTTCATTCATGGATCGATTACAGTAAGATAAAAATCATCTAGGTTTTTTTATCAATAGCAAAAATTAAGTTTAGTGGTGGATAATGGATAGCAGTGGAATGCAGAAAGGGTGTTTCGTCCTAGTGGGCAATCATGTCGATGCAGTCGACGATGAGAATTCATAAGCCACAACATCAGAACTATGTTCTATCCATCACACAAGGAGTGGGTCTGGTTGTAATGTTAGTGGGAACATCATCATACACTAGGGTATAGGTACACCCAGCTGACGAGTCATAGATAGGACGAAACCCATATCCTGGATTCCACTGTTAACATCCGCACAGGAGCCCATTTGTCAACAGTAACCTATCAATTCGGTCCAATCAACTATGGAAATTCACAAGATATAACATAAAATATGTTTGTTCTGATGTTCTTGTATTCAGATCTGTTTTATGTTGTAATCTTGACAGAATTGGGAGCACGTCTAAGAAAATTACGTAACAATTTGAATGAAGTATCATGCCCCTCATCATCATCATCATCAACCTCACTTGTAACGAAAAATAATTCCACTCCACATGCTGATGAAATGGATAAAAGTTTATTGAAAGTGAATGAACAAAGCAATTCGTTAGATAAACGCCTACATCAAACACACTATCATCATAAAAACAAACAACATTCACACTTTAATACTGTCGATTTGTTCAGTACATCAACACCTTCATCAGAAACACCATTGTTCTGTACTGATTCTAGTCGCAGAACTTCTGAAGACAATAAAGAAAATAGAATACCAAAAATCATTATAAAGAATCCTCTATCAACTACAAACTATACAATATCTAGTCCCGTTGTTACTGATGTTAACAGTATGCGCAATGTACCTTTGACGTTTGTTGTTCCGCAATCTCTGTCATCTTCATCTGTTTTCTCAACTCCTCCAAGTAGAATACATCTGAGCAGTTTTAGACATCAACAGATATGTGAACCTATTACCCAATGGCAATCAACACCTTTACAATGTACTGAGAAATGTACCTCATTGTTAAATAATTCCGAAAGTGGTTTCTTCAGTAGTCAGACAATGGAGTTAACACCGAATATAACAAAGATGTCTACATTCAATGGAAAAGATACTAAGGTCAATGTATTGGAATTGGTTGATTCCTCTTCTATAGAAGTGTCACATACCGCATCATCATCACCTTCATTGTCATCACCATTGCCAAGAGACTATGTATCAGCCTTCAGTAAACCAACAAAAAGATTATCTAAGGTCAACATAACCAGATCATCAGATGCATTTGTTACATCCAATGGTTATCAACACCATAATAAAACAACTAATAGTGATAGTGGTATTTGGCTTACTCCTGACACTTCTGCATCAATTGAAACTCTTCATGATGTTAAACCTACTCATAGGACTGTACCTATGTGGAGGCCATATTTAGACTAGATTCTGTATAGTTCAATTCTTATCAGGCGCCAAATGTTATCCATTTGAACAATGATACATACACATTTGTAAATCTAGTAAAACTAAGGGAACAAGATTTTACTGATACAAAATTATTAGATATAAAAACTCTTATCTTTAACAAATCTGTACAAATATTTTAATTTATATATAATTTACTTTTTTCATATACAAATAGAGTATACTTTTCATTAGTTTGTTGTTAACTAACTTCATCACTATCTCATACAGTCTGAGCATTGATAGTCATGAGTTGTCACTATAATTCAACTGGGTTCAAGCTAGACTTGGTATATGGACGTAACATTATGATGAATAGTAAAAAAAGAAGCTAAGCCAAGTCAGTTAACTGCACTGACAGTATTTCCTCTCATAGAGAGGTTACTACTATAAAGTCCCATGTGTTTGTTTACATTATCATTGGCTGAACGGTAGATTTACTCAACAATCGATCCTAAATACACTTTTAACTCTTGGCATAGTGTTACATTCAGATTATGATGAAGTAAACACTGTAGATCACATAAAAATCAATCAGTCTAGTTTAAAGTATTCAAAAATTAAATTTTGAGGGAGTTGTAGAGATTTGGAATTATTTCAAGTTGTTATTCATTGTAGACTGACTACCAGTTGGAGGAATAAAGGAAACCTAGGAGTACTGGACAACTGTTTCGTCCAACTAGCATGGGACTCCTCAGCAGTGCGCACCCACGACATCGCACCATCAGGGATCGAACCCGCGACCTTCAGGTTCCACGGCAAGCGCGTTACCATTGAGTCACTGGGTTAGAATCCAATGCTCCATATTTCCAACTTCCGCAACCTGAAGGTCGCGGGTTCGATCCCTGCTGGTGGGGTCGTGGGTGCGCACTCCTGAGGAGTCCCATACTAGGACGAAACGGCTGTCCAGTGCTCCCAGGTTTCCTTTGTTCCTCCAACTGATGTCAGTCTACAATGAATAACAACTTGAAGTATTCAAAAATGTTTATTTTTTTGTGATAATATGTTAAAGAGCACGATTATTTTGTACCAGAGTGAACTACCTGTTGAATCTCTGAGACCAATCAGTTAATGTATGTAACACATTCCCATAAAACTCACAATTTAATATTTAACATTCTGAAGTTATGAGATTTGTAGAACAAGAAGAATAAAGTGAAAAGTTTGAGGAATGTAAGATGCAGTAGAAAAAAAAAGAATAACGCACGACAAATTCCTTTGATTTTTCGTGGTTTAGACTGAATAATCTGAGAAAATGTATTCCACTATAGTTTATATTTCTTTCACACACGTCAGATATACGATTAATGCGTGAGAAATGGACCACAACACTTGACGTCATTTCGTCTTTTTCTTCCCTTTCTCCAAGCAGCTGCAGTTTTAGTGGACAATGGTGGTGGTGGTGGTGATGAGCCATTTCAATGAGGACGGCATACAAATAGATCGTTTACATTAACGAATACACATAGGCGTATATCATGCATCAAGTGATTGAGTTAACACTTTCAGTTCACATAAAGCCACGTACGAAATTTCACCACTAATTTTGGTTATCAGAAAAAACCAAAATATATCACGTTCTCTAGAATTCTTTTTTCCTTTCCTATGTGATGATAACGACCGTGTCCTGAAAAGAGTACTGAAAACTGTCAGCTCTACTACTACTACTACTACTACTACTACTACTACTACTACTACTACTACTACTACTACTACTACTACTACTACTACTACTACTACTACTACTACTACTACTACTACTCACACTACTACTACTACTACTACTACTACTACCAAATGTGTCACAGAGAACGCACTGTCCATTCAACCACAGGACTAGAGTTCAACGAACCACAGTTTCCTACTGCTGTCAGTTCCCCATATATAGTGACTATTCACAAAGATCTTCAGTTATGACTCACTTCACTTCCGACTAGTTGATCCCCATAGGTTACGACTTCTCATTAGAACTTCGAAATAGCTATCTGGAAGCATAATTCTCTAACTGATTTGAGACTGTGACAAGTACTAGATTGAAAAAAAATCTACATAAACATACCGTCTATCAGTGATAGTCTTTGAAATGAATATCTCGCAGTTCTAATGAGAAGTCAGAACCTATGAGGTTAACCAGTCGGAAGTGAAGCGGATAGCAACTGAAGACCTTGGTAGATATTCGTACTATATCGTAAACTGACATAAACAGGAAAGTGTGGGGCGTTGAACTACCACCATCCGGTTACCGTATGGTAAATGCGTTCGTCATGAAACCTAAAAAATCCTAAGTTCAATCACCGATGGGGTGGTGGGTTCTTTCGGTAGCCAAAGTATTTAGGTTAGGTAGTGTAAGCAGCTTGGTACCAGTAGAGCAATTAAAAATTCAGTTATATTATTGAAAAAGTAATATTACTGAATACAAACAGTGTCTCCAGGGTTTTGTCTGAGATTAAGGTGTTTCATATACACTTAACTTTGCTGCCATGGTAGTAGAGTAACTGTATTCATCTCAAACTATTGCTAGGAGTTGCTGACAGGTAGTTTATTCTCGATTATCTTTGGGTTTTCACCACTCAAATGCTCGATAGATTCAAACTGTCAACCACTTTGCTGTCTAAAAGTGAAAATCGTAAGGCAAAATCAATAAATATGGTTTCATTGTTTGCTTTCTCTGTGAAGTGTCAAGACACTGAGATAGTTGAACTTGGTTTAACTAGGAAGTAATAAGTTTTGCTTCAGTTGACAAGATTTTCACTAGACTTTAGAGAGATAGCTATTTTTAGATGTTAGTTGTCAGAGATTGAACTCTTATCATTCGAAACTCAGAAATATTTGAGTCAATTAAAGAATTGAGAACTGTTTAGTATCCTTACTTATCGTTACTTTGTAATGTTCTAGCCAGTACATTGCTCTTCGATCTTGTATTTTTGTACACAGAGCTTTCAACACTAACCTAGGGGTCATGTTGAATAAAGTCTGACGAAAATGTATATTCGCTGTGATTATTGGCAGATGTAATGGCTAATTTTAATTCATTAAATGAAAAACCTAGTTCTGACCACATCTTCACCATTCCAAACCAACTATTCTAAGTTACCACAAGGATTAGATAGATAGATGTAACCCAATACTCCACACACTCTATCAAATGAACATCACAATCAACCAAATGATCTCTGGAAAAATTGAAGACTTAGCCATGATACTTTTTGACAAAGATGATGAAATAGTGCTTCTGAACAAATTATTCATTGCATCAGATAGAAACACAAAACATACAGTTCAGAAAGACCCTGTGGATGAAACAGAGCGTCAATTGTCCAGTATATTGATGAAGATTAAGCAGTTATCAGCAATAAACTCTATGAACAATTCCATCCATCAGGTTCCTCGATCCCTCAACTATATGATCTATTTAGATTGAACAAAAAAGGTGGTTCCCCCTCGTCTAATATTAGACATGACTCATTCAGTTGCAAAATGATTCGTCAAGATCCTGGATCCAGTGAAGGATGAAATTTTGAAACATAGTCTGTATGATACATTTAATGCTGGGTATGACGTTAATTTCTATGATTACGATTTTAATAAATGTTGAGTTGATAAAATACAATTGGTGTTAATTAAAGAACCGCTGAAAGCTAGAGAGCATTAGACAGCTATCATGGCTGGACTCAAAACATCCTATAGGATCGACCTTAAGACTGTTATCTTTGTTAGTGAGCATGCTGTCATAGGTCTACTTCCCAACTTCCATCAATTCACTATATATCACTATTAATCAATGTTATTAATGAGAGTCCATGTTCCCTTTTGAATTGGCAGGAAATTCATTCCAAAACTACTCTTTAATTAGTACTGTGAGGTTGATCAAATTCTCATAAACTAGCAAATCGAGTAAACTTTTCCCGACAAATGGTATACTGCAAAGGTTCATCATTGAAAACAGCATGTGGAGTGGTACCTACTTGAATTCTAATAGCTAACTAGAGAGGGGAATTAGTTAGAACTCTATTTTACAGAGTTAAGATGATATAAAATGGCCGAAGAGTTAGGAACAACTGAAAGATGCTCACAAGACGATGGATATCCATAAGGATTTCTGAACAGATATGGAAAAACAGAAGACAAACTGTCGACGAAATTTATAGTCAATAGTCCTTTTCGTCAGAATCAAAGGTAATGATGTTACAGGAAACATTAACGGAAGACTGAAGGCGTCATTGGCTAGAACTTTCCCTTCAAGCGTCTTAATTCCTGTGTTATCAAACAATGTGCTATTTAGCCCAGTCAGAAGTCGACGGGTACCCTCCCTCTGTATATATCAATTTATGTGTAGCTGCCAAGGCAGATACATTGCAAGAACAGAAAGAAGCGTTTTTCTCAGATTCCCTGAAAGCATTTCGGAAAGCCTACAACTGAAGGGAAGTAACAGTCTAAACACCGCTATCATTCAGCATCTGGTTGACACTGGACATCAAGCAGATATCTTCATTTCTTTCAAGATATTAAACAAACGAATGAGCTCAATTCTCCTGAAGTTTACTGATACCACAGTCATAAGACGCCTCAAATCTGACTTATGTGTTCACAAAGAAGCTAAAATCAACCTCCAATCTACCTTGATAACCTGTCTTGACAATTATTTGATAACGTCATCCTTTATCGCTTTTAGATGTTTATTCCTTCATTCTTATTTAGTTGCGTCATCTTTTATTCATACTGAATGTTTCTAACTAACTGGGCTTAATGAGCAGTATTTTGCTTATTTATCGAATGACGTAATTCGATAATATTAAGCCCGTTTATTAGGATTGCTACTCCTATCGTAATTTTGATTCTAGAAACTTCCATTGGGTTACGTATATGGTGGTGACAACCAGTTAACATTTACCAATCTTCGCATTTCGTCCTATTTGGGACTCGTCAGCTGGATGTACCTGCTTCCCAGTGAGTGATGTTGTTCCCATTGGGACTCGGAC